TTCGCATCAAGTTGAATAGAGTGTACCACTGTACGTCCTACATCGCACATCACGCGCTGCGACTCGTCCGCTGACTCTGCCTTCTTGCCTCGAGACGGGCCTTTCTGTCGGGTACCCTAGAACCACTTCATGGTCTTGAAATTGTGTGCCCACGGTGCACAAAAAGGATAGATCAATCTGTATAATAACTGATACAAGTTATGCAAACTCGAATATTGTCTTACCCGCTCCGTGGCCATAATGAAGTTTCCGGCAGCATTGTTCACCACAATAGTAGGGGGTTTTCCGAATCTGAAAATATCAACGCTGTACAACATCGTCTATGAAACCGTCACCAGCAGTGTCCACCACGAAGATCTTGCTGCAGTTGGAACGCTCTCTCGTTCTGCCTGCTTGAAGGCAACATGGTGGGGTCAACCACCCTCAGAATTAAAATTCGATAAGGGCTCTGGATATCATAACCTAAATGCGGAATCGATTTTGTGACTGTGGAAATTGCAAGGAGGATCTTCAGCCACTGCGCTACCTCCGACTGTCTCACGTATGGGTAAATTGCAAGGCATTGGTTCTCGTCAAAGCTATATGGTCGGACTTTTAACTTTGCGTGCCTGTAAGTTCGTTTTCGTCCTCCTTACAGAAACTTGCGCAGATTAAGACTGCCTTGCCGGGCCTTCTTCAAGACCTCTAGCCTCACAGAATGCCGACATAGCTACCCAATTCCTACCCAAATCCAATCCAATTTCGTTCTGTATGCGAAGCATTTTCATGAACTGGAATAGGTCAGAAAAATTGTCTCAAAAGCGCGGATTTCGGACAAATGAGCTCTCTTTTTGGCTTACGAGACACCCCTTCCCATCCAGCTAATGGATTCATTTGTTGGCAGAACGAACTTCTATAGGAGCTGCTCCATCCTGGCCAAAAAGTTTACTGAGAGCTCTACTTGATTACTATTGTAGTACCTTTCAACGATGTCGTCGAGCGTTTTTGACACCAGCACAGGATCTTTCACATCCATGCGAAAAGCCTCACATATTCCACCGGTTTTGTTTTTGATTTCTGTAGCCGTCGCCGTCAAGACGTCCATTCGTCTGTAAACATGCATTTGGTTAGAAAAGATGACGTTATGGTCACGGCTAGTGGAGGCACTGCCGCTGCTCGGAAGTGCACGAAAATGGCACTGGACCTACAAAGTGAGCTAATGATGCCAGTGTGAGCTAATGGACGAGATACCTCGCGCACACCCATGACACGCAACGTGGATTACGACGTAGCAGCTAATTCAAATGCGCGCGGTTAGTGGAGCCTTGGAGCAAGCAAGTTCAGACAGCTCGTCCGACGTGTCCCTCCCTCAATTCAATGGGGAGCAAAAGGATTAATTGTTCAGGAGCTTCGCAGTGGTTTGCTTTGGTTCTTTATTCATTTGCAGTTAACTCGGCATCCACAATTTCATCATCGACCGCTGTTGATCCACCAATTTGACTTAGAGATTTTCTTTCTACGGTTAGTTGCCAAAACGGATAACGTGAACTACCCCATTGAAAAAAGCAGAAATTTCCTCAGCTTCTGTGCACATCGCCCAAATTCAAAAACCCTCGTTTTGGTAACCCCATCTATCATTTCTTTACAGCGGAACAGCCGGACGTAGCTTGTGGAATTCCGCGAGCCACGTCTAGCTGATCCAGTGTAGTTAGCTAAAATAGATAAAATTTTATAAGAATGTCCGGCGAATACCTGGCAGCAATGGCGACCTGTGCACCTAAACCAGCAAACATCGTGGCGATCGCTTTGCCGAGCCCGGTGCCACCTCCTGTAACCAGTGCTAGCGCACCCTAAATATGTAAATTGAAAGCAAATGACAAAAATCCTTATCTCAGAAAAAAAACGAATTTTTGAGTGCTCATAAGATTTGAAAAGCAATCTCACCTTCATGGCGTTTGAGGGCAAAGCGGGCGATTTCAAGGGTTTGAAAAATTTCTCAGGCGTTTTACAGGCCATTTGAGCAGCTTAACCTGTAAATAATTGACAACAAAATTCTATTCTTCACTATTCATTAGATTTACTTTGTGAACGTTTCTTTAATAGATTCGATGGCGAGCGATATGATCAAAGGAAGTAAAGGCTAAGGGCTCTTAGCCCCGCTAACAATTGGCAGGAGCTTTCAAGAGTGCAGAAGTTGAATTCAATCCGGTATTGAAATTTTTGAATTACAGTGCTTCAATTCGCGGTGTATTTGTTACCAGTACTACAGCCGCTGAGCAGGCCTCTTTTCCAACTAACTGCGCTCCTTCCGACCGTATTCACCTCCATTCAAGAGACTAACACCTTACGAAGAGGATATTAAATGTACAAATGAGGTGCCTTATATAGTAAAGTACTATATTGCAGTTCGCTATCATGACCATAAGATGAAGGCTGGAATGGAGCTCACCACTGATTCGATTGCTAGCGTTTTTGGAAGTTCGTTTCTAATGATACTCCCTGGCCTCCACGTCCGACTCTAACCCCTTGCGTAGTGGCTGAGAAAGTATAGCTTTCGGGCGAATTTGTACTGCCAGCAGCAAGCTCGAGCAACTCGACTGGAGCATGAGTTGGCATGGTATCACCGAACGCGTTACGATGAAGTCGTCCATGTGAATGCCGTTTTAGCCGCTGCCTTTCATTGAGCGAAAATCAATGGTCAAACAAGGAAGCCCTGTTTTCGCATTTTATTGATTGGATTGTCTGCTTGTTCGCCACTTACACACTATCCACCCCACCGCCCAATCAAACCCCTTTAGCACCTATTCTAATAGCACCCTTTGATGAGTGAAAAAAAAGAAAGTGAAGTGGTAAAAAAAACCAATATTGATAAATCCATTGCTGGGATGTACCACGAATTTTAACATCCACTGTGCATCATAGCAAGTTTTAGGCCGATTTGGCTCATTGGATGATTTTTAGAAGTAAGGTGCATTAGGCGTTCGTTTTCACGACAGAAGGTGCTCTTACTTTCCACCCTTTCCGATTTGCTTTTACTCGCATATATACATTACAAATATGCAGTTCCTCAGGGAAATTTTTAATGCAAAGACGGGGAAATTCAAGAGATTTTTGTTTCCCTAGCCTAGGGGAAGTGGTAGGATGCGGCCGCCCTGAGTGGGACACGCCTGGAAGCAGGGTCAACCCTATGTTGCTACAAGTAGCAACGGGGGGTCGTATTTTGATGAGTTTGTAGAGGGGGGTCGTACTTGCTTCGGTTGTAAGAAGTTGCATGTGATGAGTGGGGAGCGGCGCGGGAGAAAATTTGCCGTTTCAGCGCGCGTATATACCCCCTAGAAAATGGAGCAGTTGAAATATGGGTAAAAATACATGGGAATTGTAGGGGAATTTTGGGGATTGTATAGCAAGTATTACTCATGGTAAGTATATACCTTCCCCCCCCCGCTCGACGGTAATTTTTTGGGGTAAAAATTGTTTTGAAAGAGGTCGTGTATGAAACATTTCATGAGGGAGGGGGGTCGTAAAAACTTTTTGAAAAGTAGCAACGATAGGACCGACCCTGGGAAGTGGTAAGATTCGGCCGCTGAGTGGTACACGACCTGGGATGTTAGTACGCGTGATAAGTTTCCATACACATTTCAAGTTAAAATGAAGATCGGACTTCCCATAAATAGGTATGGGCAGCAGTATTGAAGGTAGCTCTCTTCATCCTATTGCGGTCGACCTCACATAAAAGGGAGCTCTCTAATCTCTGTGTCAATGGTTTTTCCCTTTTTTACCCATCGACACTCCTATTCGCACCCCTCGCTTCACTTTCCAGCGCAACAACACATCTAACCGACCACAACTTTTGTATTTAGAATCGTATGAGGAGCAGTATGGTGCGGAGTAGCGAGTGAAGAAGTAAAGAGAAAGGGGAATTTTTCTGAAAGTGAATGCGGAATGCAGGGCGAAGCACGATTGACCAAACAAACAGATCTTGTTCTTGTTCTTCAGTCGATAGCCTCAAGAGTTGATAAAGAAGACGTTCACTATCAACGAACTGTACAGCAGTGAATAAACTTTGGAGTTATTTTTCGATGAATAAAATGTGTACGAAGACGAAAACGAGTTGAATGACGCGTAGAGAAAAGCGCTACAACTCCCATTGATAGGAGTAGTCTGGCAAAATAAAAGGCCGAAGTCGATCGGCGATTCGAACGGAGCGATACGAGTGGCTAGAGTGTAGCGTGAGATCGATTAGTACCCTACACTGATCGTCACGTCACTACAATCAGCAGAGGCCAGAGAGTAGCGAACTGACACAGTGAAGCTCACAGGCTTTCAGAGTTGCATGGCGGTGGAACTACACCGGTTCTTTAACTACAGTTGTTTATTTTTACGCACGAGGTGCACCAACATTGTAAGTAAGAGGAGATTGAGTTTCGTCTGACTCGCCCATGACCATAAAGCCAAAGGATTGAAGAAGAAAAATAACTCGGCTCAGGTGTGGGTGAAGGATTTATTTGGGTGTTGAGCGCCTAGGACATCTGAAACTATATAAAGTTTTTTATTGTAGGCTTTTTGAAAATTTAAGGCTCAAATGGGGCGCTATCGCTAGATACGGTGGTAGCTTATAGAGCTAAGCCCAGGATGGGGCAGGAA